AGGGTGAAAGAATTCCAAAGGGTTTCCCCTTCAAGGATTGTTTTGAAGAACTTGACAAATTCTTCGGTCGGGAGAGTTGAAGCGATGAGAGCTGCGAAATGAAACAACGAATTTGGTCAGTAAAGAAATAATAATGAACAGGAAAGGAATATACGACCTAGTCTCTACCAGGTTTCGTAGACCACTTCGATGGGAGTACATCGGAAAGATTCCCAATCGAAGCAGGAGTTTTCTTAATCAGAAACCAAGGATGGTGCCAGTTTTCATCCTTGTTCGGGAGGTGCGAGATGACGTTTCTATTGGCATTTGGGTATGCCGAGAAGTATCCTGTTTTCTTTGACGAACTTCTCACACTTAGAAGTTCATTCATCTCGGGGACTCCAATGACGTAGCCAGCCTCCGCTGCAACGGTTATAATCCCGAGGATGGTTCGGAGGAGATTGGGGGTTAATTGAGGTAAAGCAATCTCGAGAGCCGCCAAGAATCGAACTAGGGCTTCGGGAAGGGGGAAGGTCAATCCGCAGCCCTTGAAGTAAATTTCGTAAACACAAAAGTAGCCGACACGGTGGTTCTCCGGGGATTCCGTAGGATCAGCTATTTGCGCCTCCGCTATAATTCCAGGAGGAATTTGACAAAGCCCCTTTAATCGCTCAAGGGATTGAAGAGTACAGGTGGATTTGTAATGAGGACCGGCGATATCGTTAGGACGAGTGCATTCGTCATTACTAGAACGCCTCTCGTCGTAAGACGGAGATTCAGGTCTTTCAGAATCAGAAGTCATCGGATAAAAATGAAAAATTCAAGATCCGGCGAAGAGAGGTTCGGTGAAGAAAAGTAGAGAGAAGTTTTGATTAAAGCACAAAAGTAAAAGAAGGAAGTAATGGTGAAAAGAAGTTACCTCACACAAACTAATGATGAAACCGCCTTGGAAGTTGTGTGGGAAGTGGGAAGGTTTTTTCCCGTTTTAATAGTAATTAATTAATATACGGTCATAATGATGACAGATGTCAATCGGGTAAAAATGGCTAGTGCCGAAATTAAAGGAGTGATGAGATTTTCGGCGGGAAATCAGAAAGATTCTCGAGCGCAATCTTTGGTCATTTAAAGCATTTAAAGTCCTCCGAATTGGAATGACACTTCGAAGAACTTGGGGGGCTAATTGTTGGTGTCGGATCCCGCACCAGAAGTCCGAGACCAACCAAAGATTGCCACGTAGTCAAGATAATGGCCCATAAAGGATAAAGCCCATTGAACCCATGAGCCGAAGGAACGGTCGAAGTGGTTGTCACCACTTCGAGAATCCGAAGTGACTGCACTGTGACACGAGTTCGGTGTAGAAGACACGGGTAAGTCGGTTCAAGGACACTTGGGCCAAAAAGGCGAGGCCCATGAAGATCAGAGTCAACTCAAATTCAAACGTTGAGCATTAAAGTCGAAGAATCAAAACGGACACATTTAAGAAGGAATAATTGTACTTAATTATTCATTTTAATGTCGTTTCTCTATGTATAAATATAAAGGCCAATGGCCATGTAAAGGGGATCTTCCTCTCAAGAAAGAAATACTATAGCAATTTTCGTAGCAATTTATAAGTTTTTTACATATTCATTTTTGTCCCTCAAGAATAATCTTTCCTACTTAATAAAATACTTGAGTGTGTGAATCCGACATCCACAGGCCCATGGGCCCGAGAAAGGACGTGGGGCCCCAGGTAGTGACGGTTGGGGCGTTACAAAAACACCGATATCGTTGCTGTTGCCCAAAATTCCGGCAACGCATACTATGTATTAGGGATAACAATATCGCACATCAGAAGTTGGCCAAAGACCATGATAATATATAAAAGATTAGATTTAAATCCGCGGTACACCGTGGGATGATTTGTTTTCTAAAAGTAGTGATTTTTAAAATTTAATGATTATTTATTATATACAAAAGTTTGCAAATTTAATCATTTTATAAGATATTTATATTTTATAGTTTACAATATTATTAAGTAGCGGTATACCACGAGATATTTTTGGTTTTCTACAATATGATCTAAATCGGATTGATTTGATATGTCTAATATTGGTGGTGTTAAAAAATAATAAATTGAGGATTTAACCCGTATTGAAACGGTGGGTTAATGATATTTTAAATTTTTATTAATGCTGATTCAAACCTGTCCCGCCATATAATCCCGCCCACAATATACTATTTCCCGTATTATTTTATTTTTTTTATTTGTTCAAATATTCATAATGATATAAATTTTTACGGATTTTAGATATATCAATTATAATTTTTAAAACTTTTTAAAAATTTAAAATTTAATATTTTTGGCAAAATTAAACAGTTAAACTAAAGACCGAATTAAACTGTATACAAACTTTTAAATTTGGATGCTTGTTAAGTTAAACTTCCTCTTCATTCGGATTTGAATTCAATTTAATCTTATTTATAATATGATTTTGAATCATTTTCAAAATATTTTAGTCGATGCGGGACGTTATACACACACCTTTTTCATCAATTGGGTAATATATATCCATTTTAAAAATTTCAAATCACAATATATGTAGAGAAAAAATTGAGTTTTTTCCTAAATTTTTGTATAATTATCTGCTGATTCAAAACAGTTAAAAAAATGAAACAAATATGATAGAAGAATCATAATATTAAATCTTAACCAAATCTTCTAAATATTTATATTGTTAAATATAGAATATCTCGTCTAAGAGTTTGTTTTTTTAAAACCCGATCCAAAGGAAACAATTTGAAGTACATTTTGTACCGGATCGGGTACCAAAAATCTCGGATAAATTTTTAACCCATCCGGTATAAAATGTACTTCAAAAATACTAATATAGATATAGGCCAAACTATTTATTGCCAACTGATTTTCTTGCCTATTAGTCTAATATGGTATCAAAACCCGATCCATATATGTACAATCCAGTCCACAATCTGTCCGACCCAATAGTTGACCCACTGATACTTTCTCGAACAAACCAAGATAAATGGCTAGAAAGCCATCACCTTGAGGGTCAAGGGATATAATAATATCCTACATTGGAAAAGACTACTTGACTAATATATAAAATCTGTAGGACGTGAATATTTCAATAGAGACACAATCAAATATTTGTAAAGCAATTAAAATAGTAATGAAACACAACAATACTAAAAAGATGATTGAGGTACGAAGATTGACAATGGTAAACAGAGTCAAGAACTTTGATGATCTCTCTTTAACTCAAAAATCTTCCATAATGCGATTGTTTGTTGACGATTAGAGTCCCAAGATAAAATTGTTTCTCCTTTTGATTTGCAACACTTAAAATCAAAAGATGATCGAATGGCCTTGTATTGTATTCTCATACACAAACAAGAGAAGAAGAGAAAATAGAAGGATTTTAATGCTTTGATCGATGATTAGAATGAGAAACAATAACCATGACTTTTATAGCACAAGAGCTCAACGTCCATAATTAAAGAAGAGAATGTCACCTTAATGACACAATTAAGAGAATTTATTCTCACGACAAAGTCAAAACTAATTTTGACCTTTTGACCTTGATTGTCGTAATTGAGTTTACACAATTATTAATTTTGAGTTAATCATTAATTTAAATCAAAATGAATTTGGAGAAATAAATATAGATATATATGGGTTATAGGCGCATTTCCCAAATCTTAAATCTCAAATCAAATTCATGTATATTTGGATTTCTCTTCTAACTTTCAAAGTATACAATTTGACTTTAAGTAAAATTCAATAGCACACGGTGAGGCTTTTTTATGCTACTCGGACGCCTCTTGGCGATCTTCTTCTCAAGATTGTGGTGTGGGATGGATTATCAAGAATCCACAACTTTCGGTGATCCAAAAGGGATCTTCTTCTCGACCCTCTGTTTCCTCTGTCCTTGTAGCAGAGGCACTTGCTTTGAAAGTGGCCATTACGGCGGCTTTAGCTTTGGGTGTTTCTAGATTGGCCTGCTTCTCGGACTGAAAAGAGCTCACTACTCTTCTCAATTCGAATGGTCAAGCAAATGCAATTGATGGTCTCCTCTCCGATGTTAGAGACCTTGGCTCTGTGTTTGTTTCTTGTACCTTTCATCACGTCCCTCGCTCTCTTAATGAGGAAGCTGACGCTTTGGCCAAGTCGGCTTTGGTTTCTAGTTTAGTACCCTCTGTTTCTGAAGTTTAAGTTTAATGGTAAGAATTGTTTCACAAAAAAAAAAAAAAAGTAAAATTCAAGCTATCTAAACTAGCTACTTTTAGACCTCTATTTCTCATTTAAACGAACTCCGTTTTTGACATTCCAATACACCACCACATAGTGCTTGCAGCAACGATTTCATCATGTCTAATATTATTCTGATGAACGTCTTCACTGGAAAAGTGGTCACAACTACTTTATCAAAAACAAGTTATATATATATATATATATATTGAAGAATTCATTCATTGCCAGTTGATTTTAAGTTAGAAGCACATACTCTGATATGCTATCATATCCCGATCCACACACTGTTCTGCATGATCCACAATTGGTCCAATCCAATTTGGTTACTACCACCACCGCCGCTGGAGACACCGCCGTCGCCGAAGCCGGAGGAACCGCCGTCACCAAAGCCACCGTCCTCGCCGAAGCCGGAGGCACCACCGTCACCAAAGCCACTGTCCTTGCCGGAACAACCGCCACCACCTTTGGCCATTTCATCTACACTTTAAGTTATTTAATTAATTGATACATATATAGTGCTATATTTTTAATTTTTTTATATTGAAAAGTGTTATTCTTGCAAACCACCCTTTTTGAAAAGAATTTATACTTTTAAAACAATGATTTTGTATGTATTTATTCAATAAAAGGCCTTGAGGAACACTGTTGTTACACAAACAGACAATTTTGTGCCAATTTGTTGTATTATGTGTGAGTGATACCGTTAACTTACTTTAATTACATACATCATCCTCAACAAGGGGTTATGTGGTTTGCTGCTCGTTATTAATTCAGCAACAATGGATAGCTTCTTTAACTTACTCTCTAGTAAACTAGCCATTATCACACACATAAATACAACACACATTCATAAAGTATGCTTCTTTTTACAACTGAATCATCACATTTTTAACATCTTCTATATGGTTCTGATATCTTGGAAGCAAGAAGCCTAATATTTATTATCAGATTTTGTATACTGAATACTTAGAGAGGAAGATGAACTGAATCACTTGATGAGAATGCATCTCGTTGGTGCTCCTTCCGCTCCAACCAATCTCAACGGTAAGCAATGAAGCGAGTACATTCCTACCTCCACATCATCCAGCTTCAGCGCTTCGACAGGGATTATATCCTGAAGTCATGTCTAAGAAGTATTTCATTCACATTCATGCCTCGTCTCATTTTAAGCCTACTTAACTAACCAATTATTTCTTTCACTTTCTTGTCTCTAGTGAAATAGCTATGTTAATTCATATTCCATGGTTTTACATCCAAAAACAACATGGTTTTCCTTAGAATTGGCAATGAAATGATATTTTTCAAGAAACAAAAGCAATGTTTTATGTACTTGATACTTGTTGACTTAAGCTTGAAGAAAGATTGAGTTATAAAGAGATAAGTATTAGAAGTCTTTAGGAGTTATCTAAAGACTTATATATTCCGGATTCATCTAAATATAGCACCTAATAAGATTAGGATTTGGTTTAGTGTAGTTATATAAGGAGATGTCAAGCTTGTGATATAACTTATGAGTTTAAGAGAGATTGAGAGTTTTAGGTTTTGAGAGATTTTCCTAAAGTAATAAAGAGAGTTATTCTTTACTGTGTTCTTGAATCTCTTCCTTGAATTCTATAATACTCTTATTGTGAAAGATATAATACCTACCCGTCGTTCAAGTATAAACCTATGCGTCGCAGGTGCTTCATCATAAGCAGCAAATGAAAGATAATCAAGCCCTGGATTTCAGAACACAGAATAACCGTTTTCAGGAAATGTAATACAAGCTAAGAAATGAAACAACGGCGTAACAACCATAATAAGCATAAAAAGCTAACAAAACAAAAAATTCCATCTCTTACCAACAAGTTTGATGTCTGTATTCTCAACCAACCATTTCGCCCCATCGATCAAGAACCCAACAAAGCTTGAATCAAATTCTTTCTTAAACATAAGCCGCCTGATATAGATTATTAAGTAAGCTTGGCTCTCACTCTCTTATAAAGTCTTTGTAACGAGTTCACATTAAGATTTTGGTAACACCGTCTTCAAATTTTGGAACTTACCTATCCGTGTTCAAAGTTTTAAAGAGCACACGACGGATTCCCTTTGGAATATGAAGTGATTTCATAACCTCAGCTAATGATACAACAAAAAAAAGAACATTAGACACAGATTTTGTAAAAATATAAAAAAATGAAACCATTTTGTGAACATTTCAATAAAACAATTTCAATTGTTAGAAATTCTCAACACACCTGAAATGTTCTTATCTCTTGGAACATCAACCAATAAAGCAGGACCTATAAAATAAAATTCACAAAAAACAATTTCAAAAACGATCACTAGCTACTTAAAAAAAAAAAAAAAAAGAGTTCCAAAACAAATTTACCGTTAAGGATTTGAAGATCAAGTGAATCAGAATCAAAACCAGAATCATAATAATGTTCATGGAAATGGCCTGGAGCATCAACATGAGTTCCAGAGTGAACAGATAGTTTCATCTTCGAGATATTAGCGACGGATCCATTCTTCATGCTCACGGCAAGTCTCATAAACCTTCCTAATCCTTCTGAAGACTCCCAAACTGGCAGCTCTGGTGTGTACTGGTGGCTGATGTCGAATATCTTCCTTTCTCCGCCATAAACTTCTCGGCGGATTGGCTTTTGATCGTCGGAGTGTTTCGTTGCGACGCGGAAGGTAGTTGGAACTGAAGGGAAAGCTTCATCGACGGCGAAGGCGATGGGAATTGAAGAGAAGGAGAGTATAATGACAATGATGAGGAGATGGTACATTATTTCGTGTCGTGAGTTAAAGGTTTTAGTGGGTATAATTAAGCTATGGTTGATTATATTTAGTACTAATATTACAATAATAATAACAAATTGTGTTTTGAGTTTTGGGTAAACTGTTTGTCTAATGGTGGAATTATCTGAAATTAATATATATTTTGGATCTTTGAAATATTGGATCGAGTAGATCAATACCTAACCAAACAATATCTGTTTGCCTAATCACATGATCAATATAGTCTTGCGATCGAGTAGATCAATACCAAACCAAACAATAACACTTAGACAGATACCCACTTTTAGTTTTGAGCAACACTTTATCTACTTTTGCATTTCTTTGGTAAATGGTATAGTCTTGGAAAGAAGGCACGAACTTGTGGAAACTGTCATCCAAAGGCATACACACTTTTTGTTTCTTTCCTTATTTTCGAGTTCAAAACATGTAGATGTAGCTCATGTGAAAGATATGTTTAAGAATCATGGGATAGAATTTTATAAAGCATCATGGGATATCATCGGAAATGAATTTACTTTGGCGATTCAATCTTTTTTTGTGAAAGGTTTCCTGCCTAAAGATATAAACTCCACTATTCTGGCCCTAATTCCTAAGAAGCTTGAAGCTAAAGAAATGAAGGACTATCGACCTATCTCCTGTTGTAATGTCATCTACAAGGTTATCTCTAAAATTATTGCGAACAGGCTAAAACTAATGCTACCAAATTTCATAGCGGAAAATTGATGTGAGTCAAATTAAGACCTAAGACTACTCTCTCAAATAAGAGATCAATTATAGTACTTTAGGGTCGAATTCCACAAAGCTCTCGTGTTCACACAATAGACTAACAAGTTTCGAATTAAGTTAAACAGAAATATGAATATTAAAAATAAAAGAAAGCAATTAAAATCGGGTTTTAAACCAAATGAGGAAAACGTCAGGCTTAGGGATTTCTCAAGAAATAAATAAATAGTAGATCTAGCCAATTAATTAGGATTATTAACGAACCGTTCTAGAACTCAAATTACTAATTTATAGCCAACCACCTCTCGAATGAATCGACTAACTAAACCTAATATCAGGAAGTTCCACCTCTCGAATGTAAACTCCTAGAATTAGACTAGCATTAATACCAGGTTTGATATGTTCACATATATTCCTAGACCACTTCTCGTATGAATCTAGTAATTTCTGCCCACCTAAGATAGTTCCAGTAATAGATGGCATCTCGAATCTACCTATTATCCTAAGATCAAATTCTAGTTAATTACTCTAGAATTAGCATTAAGAACAACCAAAAGTGAAGAACTCTATAGATTTTATCCTAACAGGTTATCTATCTACTAATTCATCTAAATCCCTAATGAGAATCCCTAAACCTAACAAGCAAACTACTCAGACATGGAGATTGAAACAAACAACATGTTATGAATAGAAAGCATAAAGAAATTCAATAAAAGAGATGAGTTAAGAAAGATCTTCTCTGGAGGAGCTCTCCAAGATAATGAAATATAAAAATCCTAAAAACTATTTATAAAATCTCCAAAAACGTGCAGGGACTAAAGTTGCAAATAGGGAAGTTTTCTGGGTTGATTCTTCGGGCTTTAAAACTCTTAAACCATCGAGACTTTTGTTGGGCCTTGAGTGGTGTCGAGCGATACAAAAGGGTGTCTGTCGACACTCATGCCTTGGTCTGACACCGAAATCGTTTCTTCAGCTCTAAATCTCCGGTTTAGCTCCAGAATGATTCCTTTTCTCCAAATTTGTCCTAAACGTGTAAAAACCTGAAAAGACACAAAAAGACTCTAGAAACAACGAAAAGACTCTAAAACTGACTCATAAATCACGGTTAAAACTGGTAAAATCCGTGATATATCAGAAATCAATCGGCATTTGTCAAGGATAGATTGCTTATTGAGAATTTGCTGCTTGCTACGGAACTAGTCAAGGACTACTATAAATATTCAATCTCTCGCTGTTGCACTATAAAAATAGATATTTCTAAAGCATTCCACTCAGTTCAATGGTCTTTTCTCCTCAATGCTTTGGTAGCTATGAATTTTTCTTTGGTTTTTATTCACTGGATATCTCTCTGTATATCTACGGCCTCCTTTTCGGTCCAGGTTAATGGAGATCTTGCGGGCTATTTTCAAAGTTCAAGGGGACTGCGGCAAGGTTGTTCTTTATCACCATATCTATTTGTAATAAGCATGGTTGTGCTTTCAAAGATGCTAGATAAGGCAGCGGGTGCCAGGAAATTTGGTTTCCATCCGAACTGCAAACGACTAGGCTTAACACACCTAAGTTTTGTAGATGATCTCATGATCCTATCGGATGGTAAAGTTCGATCCATTGAGGGCATAGTGGATGTGTTCGATAAGCTCTCAAAGTATTCCGGGTTGAAAATAAGCATGGAGAAGTCGACTTTGTACATGGCTGGAATTCCGTATTTGGATAGACAGGAGATTGCTGAAAAGTTCTCGTTTGATGTTGGTCAGTTACCGGTACGATACTTAGGTTTACCTCTGGTCACTAAAAAACTATCGGCTGCTGACTGCTCACCTCTCATTGAACAAATCAAGAAACGCATTGCCTCTTGGACATCGCGTTTTCTCTCTTTTGTGGGTCGATATAACTTGATCACTTCTATTATTTGGAGTATCTGCAATTTCTGGATGGCTGCTTTTCAGCTGCCATGTGAACATTCGAGAGATCGACAAGGTATGCTCAGCTTAAATAGCTTGGGGAAATGTCTGCAAACCAAAAACAGAGGGGGGGTCTGGGTCTGCGGAATTTACAGGAAGCAAATAATGTGTGCTGTCTAAAGTTGGTTTGGCGAATCATCTCAAACAGATCTTCTCTTTGGGTTCAATGGGTGGATATGTACTTGCTAAGGGGAAAGTCTCTCTGGACTGCGACGCAGAGCACTAATGTGGACTCATGGATCTGGAAAAAAATTCTTAAATACAAAGACCTTGCAAAATCTTTCTGCAAAATCGAAGTGGGAAACGGGACAACTAATTCGTTTTGGTTTGGTAATTGGTCGAAATTAGGGAGACCTTTTGATGTTGTTGGTGAACGTGGAATCATCGATCTGGCAATAAGCAAACACTCCTCAGTAGCGGATGCATGGGCAAGGAGAAGAAAATGGAGACACAGAGTTGCTGCTTTAAATGAGATAGAGGAGATTCTGGATTCACAAAGGCATAACCGAAAGGAGACAAATGATATTGTAAAGTGGAAAGGGAAAGGAGATGCTTTCCAAACAAAGTTTTCAACGAAGAACACATGGAATAATATTCGACTATCATTTCCCAAGGTTCCTTGGCACAAGGGAGCATGGTTTGCTCATGCAACGCCAAAACACTCATTCTGCACGTGGCTAGCGATTCATAATAGATTATCCACCGGAGATCGTATGATGAAATGGAATGGGAGTGCCTCGGGAAACTGTGTCCTGTGTAGTAACAACATTGAGCTCGTGATCACTTGTTTTTCTCTTGCAATTACACCTCTACAATTTGGGCTGCCATTGCCAAGGGTTTGTGGTGAGCAAGGCTTTTTAATCCGGTATGTTTTCCAAGCCACTATCTACACTGTGTGGAGAGAGAGGAATGGGAGACGGCATGGCGAAACACCAAACACAGCAGCAACGCTCATAGGATGGATTGATAAGCAGGTTAGAAATCAAATCACCACTATTCGACACTCCGGAGATCGACGTTATGACATGGCTTTCCAAACCTGACTTCACGCTCGGGCATGAATCTGATTTAAGCTAAGTGATCTCAAAATCAGTTACTAGTTTTTTAGATCTCTTTCCATAAACCGATGCACTCGTTGTAAAAACGTGAATTTTTCTTTTGAATATAATTTAACATTAGATTCAAAAAAAAAAAAAAAAGATATGTTTAAGAAAAAGACTTTAAGGGACATACTTGAACGGGCTAATTGCCTTTGTAGAATAGGTAAAATTATTTTCTCCTTTTCTAATTCAATTACGTTGATAGGAATACATCTATTCTAAAAACTATCATTTGTAAAATAGGTAATTTTTTAGTCATTTGCTACATGAGTACTTTGAATATATTTTAATAAAAAATCTCGTTTAACATATGGTCCAATTTTACAACTATAAAAAAGAGATTATTTATTAACAACCTAATTTATTCAGAGATTTCAACGTTATAATTAATTTATCCTTACAGAAATTCACCTAACAAACCTAGAATTGAGTATATTTATTTGTTTGAGATTTTCTTAATTGAACATCGTACCAGATTATTGACCTTTTCAATACTAAATAAGTAATTGTCTGATCAATAAGTAATATATATATATAAGTCAAATAGTGTTTATTTGGTTTGTAGTCATCATGCGTAAGCTACGAAAATGGTTATTTTTGTACAAAATTCAAAGAACAAGACTACAAGAGGCATAGCATAATTGAAAATTTATATTAAAAATCATTGTTTAAAAAAATTATGAAGTTTTGATCAAAAAAAAATTATGAAGTTATCATTTTATATAGTAACTAGATTTTACCCCGCGGTACACCGCATGTCGATTTTTTAACTAAAAAATTAAATTTTAAGTTGTATTTTTTAATATTGTTTATTTTTTTAAGTATTTAAGATTGTATAATTGTATTTTGATTGTTAATTTTAAGATTTCATATGTGATATTAATACTGTCCCGTATTAATATCGATCCAAACCCGATCCACTATATAACCCCGTCCCGTGAAATTAAACACTATATCATTTTGTTATTTTTAATAATATTTTATTTAATAGACATATAATTCGAGTCAATTTGAAAGTTTGATTTTATATATATATATATATATATTTAAATTTTAGTTAATAATAATAATTTCTATATAAAGATTTATGAATTAATTGTGTATGACCGACGGTCAAGATTGATTGAAGATTAAAAACCGGATTAAGATTTGAATGACCACGATTAAATGTAGGATTGTTGAGATGTTTTAAGGAAATCGAATTGAATATGGATGTAATTGTGGTAAGGATTAGTTATGCTTAATATATTAGGTTAATATTTTTGGAAATGATTTTTTATGTTAATATCTTTGATTAAATTTTGAAAATCTAAATAATTAATGTCA